TACATGTTGATATGAAGTAATAAAAAAGTAATAAAGGGCCAATATGTTAAATTGTCAAAGATCTAAAAAGAGCATGCTTTGAAAACTCCAACAAACGTTGACGCACAATATCTTTTTTATCAGTGCATTGGTAACGTCATGTCAAAATATTGACTTGTATTTTATAACCATTCAAAAATAGAATAGACAAAGAATAATATTATAACTGTGTAATTTTTTTAATTCATTGGTTTATTTCAGGAGTGTTCTAGATTCAGAGATAAGTGTGACATAATTGACATTGTCAAAACAGATTAATTCACAGCTGTATAAATTTAAAAACGTTGGTTTCTGAGTCAAGAGGTTAAAATATTTTATCGACTGTTAAAATAGGTCGCGATTGTGAAACGTATTAAACAAAAGGAAAAAACAAGTACTAAATAAAAGACATTCACAACATTTTTCACTACTTTGTCATCCAGTGTTAATTATTGTTTTTGTGTCCGACTGTTAAATTCCGTTTTTGTTATCCAAAGTAGTGTTTAACATTGCTTTTGTGTCCGACTGTTATTTTCTACATATAGGCTTTCGTGTACATAATATTCTAAGTTATAAAAATTGTAACAAGATTTTTGTCTTCGTAAATGTTCCTGTAAATCGTATTATCGTGTTTTATAAATAATGTAACTGCTATATTGTTTATACAATGAAAAAATAAATATAAGATAAATACTAGTAGATAGATAAACCTGTTAAGTTTTTACATTGCACTCAGTTATCATTCATTACAAGGGAGATAATTCGATTATATTACTAACAACTGGAAGTAAGATATAAGTTATGTCGGTGACGGTTACTTCCCTTTTACTGATATTTGATTCATAGTGGAAAGTCGCGTCTTTTTTCCGTATGAATTGTGTACTACAGTTGGATAAATGCAAGCAAATAAAGTTGGCAGAAAATCATTTGATTTACTACGTTTGTGTTCAGATTAATTTGGCATTGGCAAGCGCTTGAAAGACTATCTCGTGCGGTAAATTATAGATAATAGAGCGCCTATTGCACCCTGATCTGAACATATTAATCACAATAATTGGGACAGGTTTTATTTGTTTTTTTGACATGCATATACGTTTTTTTATCATATTCTGTAGAAAAGATAATTACGTGAAAATAAAAGATATTGAATTTTTCAGGATTTTTTTCTTGCTGGCAGACGACAATGGAATTTGTGTGTGGCATTGTGTTTTGATAACAAATGTCATTCCGACACAAAAGATTCGGATTTGGCTAATTACAATAGGGCATATTTTAAAAAGAAGTATGAATTTTGGGGTTGAAGAAATATAAATCAATCAGAGATCGTTAAAATTCCGTGTCTTATTTAAGATATTTTTTTTTTATCTTTTACCGGCGAAAAACCTAGGTCAATGCCTTTGCGTTTATATTTACATCATTAGTAATGGATATTTTTATATACATTTTTTATATATTCACCACATGTGTTTTTTTAAACTGTGTAATTAATTCTCGATAATGATTTTTGCATATATACGTTGTCTGTAGAGCTTATGTGTCCATCTTTTGACCTTAAAGCCTCGGTCTCACTTACTCCCGGCAGAGCCCAGGACCATCCCGGCAAGTTACCGGGATGATCCGGGACGATCCGGGATGAAATTATTGTTGCGGTCACACTTACCCCGGCAGCACTACGGTAGTTCCCTACTAACCACCCAGGATGCGCTCCGGATCATCCAGGCAGAGCCCAGGTGAAGCTACGGTTCATGCCGGTGCTTCCCCGGTCGTTCCCGGATGACGCCGGAAGAGCCCCGGTTGACCCAGGCAGAGCCCCGGTCGATCCAGGCAGAGCCCAGGACGATCCAGGCAGAGCCCCGGTAGAACCCCGGTGGATTGAAAACGCCCGAAAATGATAACTTTGATAAATAATTTTTATTTAATTTAATATCTATTGTTCCAGAATAGTAATTCATGATGATTTTCTGAAAAATCCTTATGCAATACTGGATAGAAGGGAAATGGGAAGGCTTTTAATACAAACAAGTTCAATCATCACAAATTGTCCTTATTTTTTTTAAATGATCCGGGCTTTGCCGGGGCTCTACCGGGATCAACCGTAGCTCTACCTTTATCCTCCGGGGCTCTGCCTGTAGTTACCGGGGCTCTGCCGGCATATACCGGGGCTCTACCGTAGCTCTACCGTAGCTCTACCGGCTATATCATAGCCCGGCTCATCCCCGGTTTGTGCCGGCAGAGCTACGGTGCTTTCCCGGTATCAGCCCGGTCGTTCCCGGCAGAGCTATGGATGATGCCGGCAAAGCTATACCTTCCCGGATCATCCCGGACCACCCCGGTGATATTAAATATTTTATTCCATCCGGGGTTGAATGCCGGATGTTCCCGGATCATCCCGGATCATCCAGGACGTTGCCGGCAGAGTTACGGATGTACCCCGGTCGTACCCCGGACGTCTACCGGGGCTCTGCCGGGGCTCTGCCGGGATGTAAGTGAGACTGTAGCTTAATATAACCGTAAATCGTTTTAGAATACATGGGTAGCTTTTTCACTATACATAAAAAATGACGGGCAAGTAACCCAATGTAACCACCCAGTCACACCGACGAACGGAATACATTAAGAATAAATATATATTTGCGAATAAAATAGAATTTTTTTTTTCAGAAATAAGAAATTACTTGATCCGTAATAATGAACCCAGATTCCCATACATAGTTTGAACGTTCTTTTATTTAAATAAAACATATTCAGTAAGAATTTTATAGATTTCAATAAATTTCTGCATTATAAATATTTAACCCAAAGATGAGCATAATATATCTTAAACGGATATTCATTATATTAAGAAAAACTATTGATGTTTTACGCCGGAATTTTTCATCTCAGATATACATATGTTTGAAAGTATAAATAATTTTGGCAGGATGGTGGTCAGTGTTATAAATTGAAACAGGCACTAGTTTGTTTTCTTTTCATAGAAATTAGCTAAAAGTGCAATAAGTAAATAGATAAGAACTCGCTTTAGAACCACAAATGGAAAAAATAACAAATGGCATTGTATTTCATAACTTAAGCCTTTCGCCTTACCCCCTAGCCTTGCAAATGATTTGTTTTGTGAAGGTTTTGGTTATGCTGTAGTGAAGAGAATGACACTGTAAGAGATACAGGTCCTTAGTTGCCATTTACTAACATTTGAATATTTACAAAGTGTTGGAAATCGGTGAAATCCGAAATTATTAACATTTTTACATACTATACTGTTATCTATATTACAATAATGATGAATATGTCTTTACTTTTTACCGCAGTTACTTCCCTTCTGCTTCTACGTTGCAAAAAGTGTCTGATCATATACCAGTGGGCCTGACCTTTAACCCTCTACTCGACAGTCCCTAACTAATCGGCCCTAATATGTTCAAATTACAGGTTTAGACGCATTTGTGGGAATACACCAACCCGTCGTGGAACGCCCATTAGTGAACAATAAAGCCCGCTATGTAATAGACAGACGACAATAAATGTATAAATTTAAATGCACATTTGGACAGTACAAAGAATGGGCGTGTTCTTATAATGATAGGGAACGCTATATTAGCCCAGCTACTGCTGTGTTATGGCCAGCAAATTGATATGTTTGAGTTCTAATTTTCCTTAAAAGGTACAACAAATTGATTCTTCCAGTCGAGAATTATGGCTGTTTAAATTGAGTTAACCGTTTTTGTTTCAGTTAAGTTGTTTATTGCCCAAAAATCGATCTTAAATCGCTTTGTCCGTCAGAAATAGACCTAAAATGATATTTAAAGTCAATAAGTCGGCAACATGCTTAAGTCTTGTAACAGAGTAAGTTTATTTTGATCTCAAAAAAAAAATTGACAGAGAAAATATCAAGGATAATTGATTTTAGTTTTTTACCAAGGAAATCACCTATGATTAAACTTATTTCCAATTGTTTAAAATATTGACTCGCTGAAACGACATAACATTTTAAGAATCGCTTTTATATATTTCAATATGCAGTTAAATACATGTAATGAAATATCTAATCCAAACACTAAAGGAAACAGTTCTCCTTGACCGTTGTTTTTCAAGAGCATTGAATTAGAAGAGCAGTGTCATGCATACAATCGTTAAAGAATCAAAATATTAAATGCGTTACAATTCATTTAAAATTTGATATGGATTAGACTATTTTGGACCATGTATATTGACCTTGAAATAATGAACAAAATTCCTTAAACCTTTAAAACGTGCGTAAACTCATTTTATACGTCGTTTTTAATTGGTAAATCGTGACCTTTATATAGATTTATATACACGACTGCTGCCTATTTATGAAAAAAATCTCTTTTTTTTTCTCTAAAAAAGATGTTTGCTGCATTGTAAATTCGTTATAAATATTTCTGACAGGTTATATGGTCGTACATAAACAGTGGTTTGCAATATAACCGTTCAAATAGGGCCATATAACTTGTCAAAAATTATTATAATTATAGTATCACCATGAATTATCATCAAATAGTATATATACACAACAATGACCTTTTCAATTGTTTCAATTTTATTTCTATTCATGTAATATTCTGACATGGTTCTCGGGACAATAATATATATATAATAACACAATTTCATAATATGTAACGAAAAGGGCTTCATAAACAATCATTCATTTCGGCATTTACACACAGTTCGTTATTCTACAAATATATTCAAGTACATATACATGTTCATATATACATATTTTCATTTAATAGTTATTTTCATATTGATATACACGTGTTCTAACTCACTGTTAAAAGATATTCTAACATTGTATATGTTACTTGATAAAACTTGAAATAATAAAAAATATAATAATTTTATACAATTTGAGCTGCCTGTACGCAGGAAAATTGAAACGTAAAAAAGATAAAATAAACAATAGAAGAAAAAATCTTTAAAACGAATATTTTCTTGATAATTGTTTCGTTGAAATGCATTTTTATATGATAAAAAAAAATCCAATTTTCTTTTGGTTATCCGTAAATATAATTACATATGTAAAATAAGTAAAACGTAATATCAAAATTGTCATAATCTTATGATGTAATAAATATTTAGATTGAAGTAAATCATGTAAAAATTGAATTACAAATCTTCCAATTAAGAGAAATTAACAATTTCTGATTAAACAGAGATAGATATTTACATGTACACAGAAACATTTGAAAGAAAACTTAAAACAAACGTTTAAATTCAATTTTAGAACCTTTTTTTACACTTTTATCTTTAAAAACAGAGATAATTATGCTTGTACATTGTACAGATAAATTTGGGGGTGGCGATATTATGCAAAATAATGACTGACAAAGGTCTTCGTGTTTCTTAAACAATTGTATAATGACTCTAAGTAAGTATATTTCACCCTTATTGTTCTATATACGATTATTCTATTTGGGCATTGAAATACAAATTCAATTCTTTTTTACAATTTTCCCAACTTGAAATCCTTCGAGACTAAATAAAACCAAATTTATATTAGGTATCATAAAGTCATTTACAAACAAAGGAAATTCAAACTCTCAAATTAAATTATCAAACGGCATAAAATAAACGAAATTAATAAAAAGTTTAATAAAGGTATTTAAAAAATAGTGGCTTTTTATTTAATTTTTCAAATGCACTTTCTATTCCATTCTTTTTTCCCCTCCTAAATATTAGAATGGTCTTAATAGCATTAACAGAACGATAATTTCACCAAACACATTTACCATAAACGAAAAATATGTTGCTGAAAACTCGCGCAAAGCAAATTTAAACGTAAATCTATAATGGAAATAACTCTGTCAAATTCAATCATTCAATCATTTTTACAATTTAAGCACATTATGTTACTATATGACACTCTGTAAAGTATACCCTGTGTATCGAGACGTGTGTGACTATTTAACAAAAATAGTAAATTATCACAAAGATTTTATGTCTTATTCTCTTATTCTGAATGAACGCAACGTAATACGTTTGTAGTGGTAAGCTGCATTCAGCCAAGTCGAGTTGTTTCATTTTTTTTGTGTGTTTCCTTAAATGATATCTTAAATGTTATCATTGCTGAATTATCATAGTTTTATTTTACAGTTTTCAGCTCTATTTGACCTTTAATCACTCAAACGTTTTTTGGAGGTTTTTCTTAGCCTTAATATAAAGCAGCTATGATTCTTTCTTTTCAAATTCATCTTTATCGTCAACTACAATCTCATCCGCTGATTCGCTTCTAACTTCAGCACCGGTGTCTTTGTAAAGTGTTACTGGCACAATTTGTCCTGGTTCGGGAGATCTACTCTCACTTCGGGATCGTTTTGGCGAGCTATGCTGGGCAGGGCGCGTGTATGTATCTGGCGAATCCGAGTCGGAATCTATGCTTAAATCGTGGTCAGACGATCCGGACACTGAAAGTTGTTTGGTTGCTACTACGTCATTTTTCAATTCTTCCAAGTCACGTTTTAATTTTGCCCGCCTGTTTTGAAACCATGTAATTACTTGTGCGTTCGTAAGACCAAGATTTTGGGCAATTTCATCTCTGTCAGCAGGCGTTAAATATTTTTGGTATAAAAATCTTTTTTCAAGCTCGTAAATTTGTTGATTTGTAAACGCTGTTCTCGACTTCCGGCGTTTCTTTGGATTCGCGTGTTTACCAAACATTGCAGCCTGTTCTCGTCTCTTCGCATCTAAAAATAAAAAAGGGAGAAAATGAAACATCAATTTAACATAATGTTGTATCTGCAAAGAAAAAACAATTAAATAAAAAAAAACATTTTAAATTTATTTACAATTTAAAATATTCTTTTTCAGTTATCCTTGTGCATTATTAAGATTATTTTGTGTTTTGTTTTTTGCTGTTGTTTGTTGTTTTTTTATGACATGAATGACAGAGAAGAAGATTAAAATAAATGTAATAATATGTTACATTATGATTTTTATTATTTTAGAAGATATTGAATAAGTATATCGAATCTTTTTTTCTTTCTATTTTTTTTCTTTTGATCATGCATTTGTGGTCCTGTGAAGTATTTGAAAAGAATGCATGTTTTTTTTACAATAAGTACTTTTATAACATATTTTCACAATATACTAGCTTTAATCTATATTCATAAAAAACGTGGAAATGTGAATCGAAACCGCAAATTGACATAACTACATTTCTTCATATTTTGTCATCAGTAATTTGTCACAATAATTATCTATGCGTCTATAATTAGTCAAATATTAATTACTCCTGTTACAGGTAATGTTAACCCATTGATACATTCGTGTCTATGTGATCAGTTAAGAATATATTTAACGACGCGGCAATATATTAACGTTGTCAGGCAGAAATTATGCAAATTTTATGCAAATGAAGTGTTTATCTATACACCTCCTCAGATTATATAGGTCCGATTTGTAATAAGCTTTTTCAGTAGCTAAATATTGACCTGATTTTCGAAAGAATTATTGTCATTTAATATAATTATTGTTATTATTGTAAATTAATAATAATAATAATAATAATAATAATAATAATAATAATAAATAATAATAAATAATAATAATAAATAATTATTAATTATAATTGTCATTATCATTATTTTTATAGTTATTATTATTATTATTATTATCATCACCATCAGTAATGATATCATTATTAATTTATTTCGTACTTAATTCGCACAGTCAATGCAAAAAAATACCAAACTGAGGCGAATTTCATGCTATTATCATTATATAATTATCACTTTTATTTATTATCATAATAATTAGTATGATGATTATTTCTGTAGTGAGGTATTTTCATATGAAATGAATACAAATATAATCAAGTACGTAATGAGAGAAATATCTATAATTTATGCATATATATGACGTAAATTGAATGTGCACAAAAAATAAACATGCATAATGTTAGACAAACGCAAGGGATCTTGAATTAAAAACAAAACTTCATTATGGCAATTATTTCCATTACATTTTTTTTCAACAATTTAACATTCCTTCTATAATTGCTATGCACAATTGAATGTCGTAAAATAAAATGAATGACATAAAAAGGTCGTTAAATATTACCCATAAGGCAATCATTATTATAACACATAACTTGTTAGCATGGCAACATTTTAGCTCTTTTATTTTACTATTTAGCCTCGCGGCGAAATTGTTTATTATTATTTGAAGAGCAGTAAGAAATTAAGTTCGTCATTTTGCACATATTACATACTTCAAAAACCTGTATCATTATTGAAAAACATAAAAAACGCCAAAGAATTGGTGTAAAGTACCTACAAATTATACTCCTGTTTGATTGGCCTGTATTTAATTATGATGATTAAACTGATAAAAAAAATCGCGCAAATTTATTACAATGTTAAAGGCCCATACCAATATTGCATTTGAATAATTGTGGCTGCTACATTATACTTTTGATATACAGAAACATATAACACTTGATACACCATGTAAACTGTACTCGTTCTTTTATTACCTCCCTTTATATATTTAGCAGAATGCATTACTTAGAAACTTATTAAGAACGTAATAATATGCTGATATCCATTTTAACGTATACGTAATCAATCATATTATTATCTCCCGTTTCGAAATGTGTCATGTATAAATTTACACGTTCATATTTTTTATCTTACAAATATATTTTCTTTTCTAACAAAAATTTCATACGAGAGAACCTAAAAGTTCTTGTACCCCCAACCCCGCCTCCTAAGATTTCAAATTAGCAAATTAAGACAATATTAATTAATACTTTAATTTGTATTATTGCCTATACTCAATAATTTTGTCATATTTCTTTTTTTGTTGTTGTTTTATTTATTATCACATTTTTTTGTGTTTTAACAATAAAATGATTACAAAATATGTGCTCTTGTTTATTGTGTGACGTCAGCAATGTCAGCATGCTTGTAAGAATTTGATTAACACTGCAATTGAATTACGGCGTCCTGTTTTTGCTTAATTTCATTAAAGATGATAGACAACTTACTTTCATATATGCCCCCCCCCCCCCCCCCCGCCGACTTTGTGTGATATGTGACGGATAATTATATTGAGTATGTCCATCTGTCAATGTGAGGTTAGAAATGTTGTTAACTATCTTGTTTTATCATATATAACTTTCACAATTACATCATTAACGTATGTCTCATCAATCACCGCCATTATCTATAAAACGTATTCGGAACACCTCTCCGATTACTCATACAGTTCTTATCCGAAAAGTTGCGATTGCTATAAATTGAAGAAATAAAACTTGGAAATCATTTGTTTTATTTAGAAGATATAGTTACATAACTCAAATTTAATATTTATTTACAGATTTAAATAGAAGATAGGATGTGGTTTTCTTTTTCAAAGTTTTCGTCCTCTGCAAGCAAAGGGCGGTAATTTTGGAAAAAGAAACAACGCTCGCGACATTTACACTATTATTCTTGAATGCGAGTGAGCAAGTATGCAATTTAGTCATTTAAATGTTTCAAATCATTGCACCAGATAAAGACTGTGAGTAAAAGAGCATAAGAGAGTCATAATATGGCCGCAAAAGCAGGTGGCAGACTTAACTGTGACGTCATAAACTTGATCATTTATTTATAACTCGCTGAGCATCAGAAATCACCAAGTATTTCAAACACACTAAACCTTTATATATCTTAAACCCGATGGCAAACATTCAATAAATAAAACGTTTGAGCGAATTATTTATCAGATGTAACACTAAGAAACATAAAAAGTAGAAAATCATGAAAAATCGAACTTCCGTACAGTTACGTGATGTGATGGTAATAATGCACCTTCCTTACAAATAATGGCCGCAGCTTATTCCATGGACAAATACATTATCCAAACCGAAGTAAGAAACAGTTTCTAATATTATTTCGACTAGCCAGTCGTGAAAGTTTACACACCGTTATATTTATGTTAGTACGTCATAACACGTGAAATCTATTATCTCGCGGTATATTCTCACTACTACAAATAATCGGCAATATATTTTCTTATTTCAAAGACTTAGCAGACATACCCTGGATAATGAAGCTGTTAGTTGTGAGACATTGTAAAATTAGACCCATCTATCAACCAAGCGATGCTAGCATTCTATGTGTCAAATTTTCATTCTAAGCATATTAACCTAACACCGGTCTTCCATCAATCGAGCACGCTACGTGGATCTTCCATTGCTAACAAGACTTGCCCGTAATTAATTCGATAACTTTTTGGTACTACACGTGCGATCTTTTTCGGAATATATTCTTCTTATTCAATAATAATGAAATCAATACGACCATGGAAGTTTCTATCAATGTTCGGTTTGTTTGTTAAAATTATAAGAACAATCAAGGTACAAAGTCAGCATTTCTTATGCTAATAATAAATGCTAATCGACAAAATCATAGAAGCATTTCGCGGACAAAAAAAAACACAAAGATAATTTAAACACTTCCGGTAATATGAGCAACACACTTTTTGACAATGCATATTAATTTAATAGAAAATTCAAAGAACTATTAACATTGTGCATAGCACAGTATCAATGGTAGTAAAAGATGTTAATACATATAATAAAGTGCATTTTTTTAAACTTTAGTTTCATAATAAATATTTCAAATCCTCGGTCTGCCTAATAACAATGTCACATGTTCTGCGGTAAATAGTGTGCACCTTTGACAGTGTTACATTGTGTGCAGTGGTTACATGATTATTGTAACACGTGTTTCGATTTAGAGCTCGTTCACTAACTAAATGGTCCGTCTTAATTAATAACGACCCGTACAGTGTCAACTCTGCTATAATTAGACTACACGAGATGTCCTACAAATTTAATAAAGTGCGATTCTCCCTCATTTCTAACAAGATTCACGCGTCTCCCACCCCCTTGTCAATTTAAGACATTGAAACCCGTGATTCATTTCAAATAATGCTTTGTAACGAAATACAAATTTAGCCATTCCGAGATTCCTCCTAATAATTATCCGTACAGCCATCTGCCGCGGGTGGCGCTAGTTCAATTCCTCGGGGTAAAGTATCAGTTACCCCCCTTTGGGTTCAAGGTTGTCAATACGTTTTTGTATCTTTGAAAAATCTTGAAAGATCGCTCGTCTCGTGGCTAGATGTCTTGTAAAAATGACATATTAAGGGTGGTAATAAACGATTAGAGATTATCTTAATAAATTAGAAATGGTTAATTTAATGGATCGTGGTAAAAAAGAGGGAGCGGGCCCCAGGGATCATTGTGCTAGATTGATAGACTACTTGTAAACAGTGTCGACCATTGTGGTCATAATAATAATGTTACTTCTACATTATATAAGTCGTCTGCGTCGATTTACACTTCAATTGAACTTCTGTCACACAATAATTGAAGGCTTGACAATCAGGTTAAACGATTTAAATTCGTTTGTCAAAGTTTAAGGCACACTTGTTGCATTTTTTCATATAAATACACCGTCCCCCTAGTATTATTTATCACATTGCATTATTTCATAGACTCCATGCTCTCTTCTTTTTCACCATTCTCTCAAATATCACACATATTTATTCGCATCATTTTCATCTTTAGAGTTTTTGTCTTCTTTTTACGCATTATCCCTGGTTTGAATATCATTTGTTAGAATAATTTAGACAAAAAGTTTCAATAATTAATACTTCTAAATACTGTAGATTGGTGAAGCCAAGATGTACCATT